CCCAAAATTGTTTTGCACGTGCCTGTTTACAGACTACTCCTCAAGTAGTACAAAAAATCTCAAGAATTTAAAAATATGATCTTAAAGTATATTTAAGAATTCCAAAGCAAGATTTTGAATAACTACATTATTAAAGAAAAAAAGGGTAACATTCTTGGTGATTCACCCTATATATAAATTGTGATTAGTAGTTTTAACATCATATTTTTCAGTAGGTATAAACTATAAAACTGTTGTACCTGGTAATAGTATGGCCACATGAGTGTCAATATGATAGCTACGCTGCAATATGATAACGTGATGATGGATAGCGATATAACTATTGCCAAAGGTATGTCTCTTGTAGGTCGTTTGGCTTCTTCACCTTGAATAATTCCAAAAAAACAAATTGTATTAGTTGTCTGACAAATGTGAAAACTCGTAAAATGTACACAATGGTAAGTTTAATATAAACAGCCGCAAAATTATTATATCTACCCTATGTCTAACGCTTAAATTTCAAATGTTTACCGGTAGTGGCTATTGCATCGAATCCGACAAATCCGTAAAAGCAAGTTGCAGCTCCCACAAACACTCCGGACCATCCAAAAGGCAAAAATCCGCCTTCTCCGCCTTTCACATTCAGTGGTATATTCTCTTTTGGGATGTTCCAATTGTAAAAATCGACTGCAATGATTTACTCAATTTATATAGCAATATAGCATTATAACAATGGATTCGATATGAATCCAAACCAATGTGTAGCATATTTCTTGTAGTTCATTTATCACCACATTTAAGCGTTTCGAATTATTAAAAATTCTGTTAAATTATCTAAAAATTATTTTATCTAGATATTGAACGAATATATTTGTTATAAATATTATGTAACTCCACTATTTTTCTTAGGTCTTATAGGTTCCTGAAAAAAATGATTCTACGTACTTTTGAACAGGCCAGTTACGACGACTGTGACGACTGTAAGCAGGTTGACAACAGTAAATATCTTGTTAAGTAAAGACGATTCTCTCATGCCCCATGCAATTAACACTTAAACAAAAATAATATAATTAATATTATAAAATATTATACTGTTACAGTGACGCCTATAGGTACCAAATACTCAATCACCCAGTTCATAGTTTGCGCCTTCGACGCGGATACACAGATTAAAATAACATAGAATTAATGGAAGTATTTTGATGTTCAATTAATCATTTCCTAACACAAAATAGGTAATATGATAGATATAATTATACTATGAAAAGGAAAACAGATTATGTGATTGGGAAACGATTAAATACAAATATTATAATACTATGAGAAACATTAAGTGGACAATAAAAAGAGAATAATATAATAAAAGTGTCGGAAAAGTTTTCTGTCATACACAATCTATATTTTTAATATTGAAAACAAGTATAAAATATCGACAACAGTCGATCATTTTGCAGTTATTTTTTTGACAATATATATTTTTTTAATTTAAAATTAATAAAGTAAATTAAATCTAACTGTTAAATCAATAAGTACTAAACTAATAACTGAAATTCTGAAAATTCGAAACCATTCATCCATAATATTTAATTTCAACACGTAAAATTCTTATTAAATAATGTTGTCGTTGCAGGGAAAATGAAGCTGTCTAGTGTCTAATCCATATTTTGACAAGATGGTATTGAACACATTTGATAAAATAATAAACTTAATAAAGACAAAATATATCATTATAACAAAATATATCTCGACCTTACAACTTGTAAGATACATTTTACTGGGAATTTAATTATAAATATTTGAAAACCATCCAACCTTAATAATTGTCTTTATATGTCATTCGTTTTTAATAGATTGTTAGCAATAGCTTTATAATACACAAGATATTACGTGTCAAAAAATTACAGGAAGATAAATCTAAAGATATAATTTTAAAACTGAAAATCCAATAAACTCTTAATGACTATTTTCACTTACTGATTTCTATACCTACTACCTATATCATCTGTATTCAAAATATTAATGTTTCCATAATATAACTTCGTAAAAATAATGTTTCAAATTTTAATACTTACAAGTTAACATTAGAATAGATGCGAATGAAAAAAGATCAGGGTATGGTGCCAAGAAGTCCACATTCATTGGAAACGTTTGTTCAAAATATCTTCTCATTTTATAACCAAGTGGTTTATCAATATGCCCACTTAAAGCTCTTGCAATGCTAGCACATCCTAAAATATTTATCATATAATAATATGTTTGCAATATTAATAATAACGTCCTTAAGATTCAATTTTTTTTTGATGATACTTAATTAATTATTTTTCCTGATTTTATTACAAAACAAATTATAATGAACTAAATTTTAATTAATTAATAAATACTCATATACCTAGATATCGTAAACATATAATAATAGTTGTACTCTAATTATTTTAATTCAATAGTAGGTGCCTATAATAGATCTATAATAATATTCTTTTAATTACACCATCGTTATCAAAACAAAAAAAAATAATTTATAAAAACAATAATCTTAACAAATACACGATAAGCTAATTTTCACGTTTATACTCACCGATACTGTATTCTAATATTAAATCCCAACCAATGAGAAATGCCACTATTTCACCAATACCCACATAGCTGAACGCATATGCTGACCCGGCTTTTGGTACACGACTAGCAAACTCGGCATAACATAATCCTGAATAAAATAAATTGTTCCTAATTAGTTTTTTTTTTCCATAAATATTATTTTCTTAAACCTTAAAATCTATTTTTAGAAATTAAACAATAATTATGTACAGTACACCACATTCAATTATAATATCATCAATGATAATGTCTTCAACCTTTAATACCTAACAATACGTAATTATAAGTACTCTAAATTTCCATTTTAGAATGATGGCTAAATTGCATCTATAGTAAAAAAACTTGAGTACTTAAGTCAATTTTGTTCCAATAGATCTATCAAAATATACCTTACCAACTACAGTGTTTTACAGGTAAAGAGAAAGCGAACCATTTTTCCACATTATGTAGGTAACTACAGTTGTTTGTAAATAAATGCTAATAATAAATATCATACTATAATACTTAATAATTAAAGTTAACAATTATTGATAGAAATTTTATTTTTTAAATGTTACAGGTCGACATTTATTTTCATATTTAAAATTATTATTATTTTTATATCAATAATATCATTAATAATAAAGCAGAAAAATACAAACAAATTGGATTGATAAATGTCAAAATATGATTAAATTGAGAAGCCAGTGTTGTGAAAAAATTTAATTATAAGGGTAATTATGGGAGAATGATGATAAACAGAAATCTTACATTGGTAGCCATTATAAGAAAAAGGAAGGAGAAAAAAATTTATAAGAGAAAATTGAAATTGAAAAAGTAAACAAAAAAATATGAATATTTCAGGTGAGGGGGAAAGATAATCAAAAACTAGATGCTAAATATCGAAAACTGCAATAATTGGCAGTTAAAGTGCAGATGGATTGAATGAATGAGATTAATATTAATTTAATATACATTGTGGTATAAATAACATGAGTTCATATTATGATTAGATCGTGGACTTACGTTGGCCATGCCCCCCTCAAGCATTTAAAATCTCAATTGGCCAAATCAACTTAAAATATTGTTTAAAGTTTTTTTAAATCTCGGATCAAAATAATAATATTAATTGTTCATATTTTTAACCAAGGTATTTTTGTATAATTAGCAATTCAAAATACCATTTTGAGATTCAAAATAATACAATATTAAAGTGTTGTCAATATTGTTTTGGAGTAAATATTATATCCCATCCCTCCTTGTAGTGTTCACAATTATCTCAATTAACAGTCATCGATGTTCAATACTAGCTGATTCATTGTCCACTAAAAATTAAATGCCCGTGGATTCACCCCTTCTTAAATTCTGCTAAATGTAAACTGCAAAGATTTTTAACTTTGCAGCTTGTGTGGTGATGACCAAGTATAAAATACCAGTCTAAAATTATATCTAATTATAATAACTCTTTTATTTTCTGTAACGACTGTAACCCAGAACAACCCAAACCATGGTAACCCTAAACAAGCATAAAACTTTTTGTTTTTTAGGCAAAAAATCCCCATGTAAACCCTTTTTTAAAAATCAAAATTTAAAAAGAGGGTAAGTGGGTAACGTTCTGCTGCACATTAGATGTCTATGGAGTCACGAAAATGAATGTGTTAAATTTTAATTCAACAATATTAAATTATGGCATAATAAAAAGATTCCGAACGAAGGATGTCTGTTGGCTTATAATATTACTAAGTAGGTATATTTTATGATATTATTGTGATTAAAGTAATTTATTTTACTATTAAGCATTCGTACTACATTAAATTAAATTCATTTTTGTCGAAAAAATTACATTTGAAAATGGCATTGTATGCTCAAAATACAATAATATACCTGCACTAAAAGTTTCAAGTACCCACAAATAATATTTTTAAATCACAACTAAATAAATGAATGATTATTCCTGGTCTTAATATGTAATTTCATCTAAATTTAAACTTAAAAGAACTATAAAAGAAAACTCTTGGTTAATATATATTTTAAATTTTTTGTTTATAGAATGAACTACTTATAAGGAACCTTGTTTTAAATGTTCATTCCTTAACTATAAAAATTGAAAATTGTATAAATTACAATTTTGCAAGGTTAAGGGCTTAATATTTTATTTGTTAATGAATATTGGTTGATGAGGGAGAGAAATACTTTTCTAAATTTCTAATTATATTTATTTATGGTATCACCATAAATTATTGTGAAACTTAAATGTTGATTAATTCAATCAACACGGCTTATTATTAATAATTAGATTTGATTTTTTGGAAGTCATACTAGTATACAGAACAATTCAGTGATCACGTAGAGTTGTGCATCAATGGATTAAATAACAATCAACAATGTTTATACATGAACAGTTGAGTAATGTAAATATTAAAAAAATGGACAACACTGTAATGGATGTGTATTTGAATTCAATGATAAATCATTGCATAAGAAAAATCTTGCCTATGTATTTTTAATTTATTTGATCTTTAAACGCTTATAAAAAAAAAGATAGTGTATATGTATTTTTAATATTTTTGAACTACTATAACAAAAATATATCAAGAGCCTATATTGAAATTTTAAAAATGTTGACCCAACGAACAAAATTTCATTGACATTTATAGGGAAATTACTAAAAAAAAAAATAAAAACTGAAAATGACCATAAATAGCTCTAAGCGAGTTCAAATATGTTGAAAATATTATTAAGTATAGAAAATGATAAATAAACATATGATGTAAATTTTAAGTATCTACGGTTATTCGTTTTTGAATTACAACAAAATAAAAAAAGTGAATAAAATAGTGAATGTCCAATGTAAATATTTGAACTTTTAAACGCTCGCTCATAAAAACTAAATTTAATTTCCGGTAGACTTTTTTTTTGACGACGAACTTTAGAGACATTTTGGATTATATTTTCAAATCTTAGATACAAAAATAAAATTTTCTATGAATTTCTAAATTAAAATAATGAGTACATTTTGTGATTTATATACGAATTTTGTCAACATTTGAACTTTGGACGCTCATAAAAAATGATTGGGGATTTGCGATCAACTTTTTTTTAATTTCTACTAAAAACAACTTACGAAGAACGTTGTATTATATTTTCAAGTTTTTTAACAGAGGGAAAATTTTTTTATCGACATTTATTTTAAAAAACTAATAATAATTGAAAATGTCAGTATAAATAGCTCAACAAAAGTCGGCATATTGCTAAAATGTTTATTGTATTGAAAATGCTGATATAAACATTCAGTGAAAATGTCATATATCTACCGGAATTTTTTTTAGAGTTGCACTAAAAACCAAAATCGTTTAAGCGAAAAAAATGCTCGTTTGTAGTTAATCATTTTTTCGTTTTTCCGGCGCTTTGAAGACTAATGACAATTTTGACCCCTCGAATGCACCAACTAGATTCACTTTCTCATCGGAAAAGATACTGAAGTTGAAAATCGAAGCATTATTTTGAATACTCGTCGTGCACACAGACACAAAAAATAAAAATAAAAAACATACATCATTGTATAATCAATGCATTCATTGCTCTGCTCAGAATTTAAAATTGGTTTAGAGGTGTACATCCTCGGGTATAGGGTTACCTAAGTACCAAATTTCAGAACCATGAGAGCGATATACTTGGCTGTAAATTGCTTAAGCACACACACTCAAACATCGCCTTTTATTAAATATAGGTAGATGGACATAAAAAATATGTTTTACACATAAACCTACAATTATAAATTGAATAACTATTTTAAATGGTGATTAATATACATATATATATATATTTTTACTAATAATATTAACTAAGTATTGTGTTCGAAACGAATTACATTCATCTATAATTACCTGACAGCGCCGATGCAACAGCTGCAAAAGCAAATGACAAAACGACTGCGGGCCCAGTAAATTTAACCGCCACTTCTCCAGCTAGTACATAAGCGCCAAGTCCAAGTGTTGAACCAACGCCAAGAGAAATCAAGTCTACTAATCCTAATACACGGCTAAGTTGATTTTTCGTTGGCTCGGTGCTCAAATCGGATTCCTTTTTCCTTCTTAACATCGTCTTTATAAGTGATTGATCATTCTAAAAAGTCAAAATTATTATTGTTGTAATTATTATTATATTCACATAATATCATGTAGAATGATAATAAATATATTATATATATATATCACATATAATGTATATTATATACTATAATGAATATTGTAGAGTAAAAAAATGTATGTTGATATTTTGATAAATGAAATTAGAATCGTTTATGTTCCGTGAATAGTTATTTATAGGACATGTTTAAAACTATAAAAGTACATAAATAAAATAAAATAGGTAGATTTTATCAAAAATTAATAAATTTTAGATAACACAATCATTAAATATTTTGTATTCACTGAACTTGCCCTTTAGATTAATAATAATTATGCTTTAATTTATCACTCAGAAAAACATAGATGATTATTTTTGCACACTATACAATATCCATGACGTGAATAAAACCATAATATATACTCGTACATCCGTGCATTTACTATGCAGTATAATATACTGTAATATGAACATCAAAAACGTATGGTTAAATAACTATAAATTATACTATATAGTTATGTAGTTAAATACCTGAGAAGTAGAGAATTTCTACATGTTTTGAATTCCAATATATGTACAAAAAGCTATTGGTTTTGAATTCATATTATTTTCCTATGCCTCAAGTAGTAACCACGTAGGTCCGATATAATCGATGGATTTAAAAACTAAGAACACAAAACCTTTATTTAATAAAAAGCCCTATAGGCTTTGGTAAAATTAATATATTTGTGAAAAAAAATTATTGCAACAACAGACTACAACGCATTAGTTGTATATAAATATAAAAAGTAATAATAACATAGAGACTTCATTATCTCATATATGTTGTTGTATATTATTCATTTAAGTAAATATTCCATTTTTCATTATTCACTCCACAACGTAAATTGCGAATAATAATAATTATAAAATTATTTCGATAATATCCTGAATTTCTCAAATATAGAATAAAATATCTTTTATGAGTACCTATTGTATACTATATAGTTAGTTATAATCTAACTTCAAAAGTATTTTAGTATTTAATTTGGTTATTTATAAGTTGTAACTAATAAGTTGTTTCCAAAGTAATTATTGTTTCTGTTTACTTATCAAAATGAATAATAAATATTTCATCACTTGCAAAATTGAATTAACTATATCTAAAGTATCGCGTTAATTTAAGTGGTCTACTCTTTTAGTTATGGTTTCAGGTCGGCGTTAATTTTGTTTGATCAGTAATTCTTACTTTAAGATTTCATGAAGTTAGTTTAATAAACTTAAAACTAATATCATATACAACTATACTAGAATAATTTTCAATTTATTTTGATCAGTAAAATTGCATCAACCACATTTTAATATAATGTTTTTTTCTTAATTAAACATAATGATTCATGTGGGTTATTAAGTAAGGTATAGATTATATTACATACCTGGGACCAATTTTTTGTTTTAAAAAACTATTTAAATCAATATAAAATTAGTTGAAATCAAACAATATTAAATATGAATAAATAATAATTTACAATACGTTTATTTATTTATATTACTAATTCAAATACAAATTAGTTGGTACATTTTTAGTTTTAAAAATATAAAACTACACACAACACACTAGTCCACATAGACGACAAATCAAACACCACGTCATATGTAACACTGCAGCGGGAGTGTTGAGAATGCAATGTTTTAATTATTTGACTTACAACCAATTAAATGGACATCGTTTAAGCATACACTTATTATAAAACTCGTATCACGTAATTAAATTATTCTTTACACATTATTATCAATGATTAAAAAAATTAATTTGAAAAGCCCATATCAACAAATATTGTACACTTTAAAATTATAATATTAAAATACAATTAATTAAAAATGTTGGAATGTTGAATAATTGCTTACATATTTTTTTTTTTTGAAAACTAAGCATAATAAAAAAATTAAGACTTTTGTTTCAACCTATGTTGTTATATCCATATAGTTATTGTTTTAAATATAATTTTTTTTAACATTTGAGTTTCTTTATCTTATCATTTTAAATATAATTTCCATTATGAATTGTACTTTAAATTTTAAAATAATTATTTTAAATTCCTAGCATACATATTATTTACATAAGGGCTTATTTTTAATTTAAATAAAAGGTCTACTCAGATGCATATTAGCACACGTTGTGTAAACGAATGTGATTAATACAATCTTCAAATTATCAGGAGTGGACTCAGAGATGATATAATATGTTCTTTCTCAGATGTTAATACCTACTTATTGACTATTACTTATTGAGCGATACTATTTTTGAAGATAAATCTTTTTTTTAAATTGCTAATTTTTTTTTTATTTTAATAGGTACAACTGTTCAATTAATTCGGTCTTGGTCCGCTTCTAGGAATGGGGTGTTATAGCTTAACTGCAGTTTTCAAGGGTGGAAAAATACCAAAAAGTTCTCTAGGAAATATTATTACTATAAGACAATGCCTGTTTGTGGCAATTAGTTTTCAACTACCTACTAACCCCCTACTCCATGAGAAAATGCATCAAACAGCCGACTACTATCATTTAATTAATTATTATTAATTTGTATTGACGTTTCGTTTTTATCAATGGATAATATATATAATTTCCATTGTTATCATCTTAAGTTCAAATTAATTAGCGTATGTGCAATTTATTGGCATGAATCTTGATTACCGTTGTCGTATGCAATATTATACTTTAAATATTTTACAATAATTTCAATAACTACTCAAGAAGAATTGTTTGAAAATGAATGTTGAAAAACTGAAAGGCTTGATATATTTTCTTAGCATAATTAGGCACCTAAAATATATTTTTAAATGTTATTACTAAAGTGTTAAAGAAAAAGACAACGAATAGATTCTAAAAATTGAACCGGCTTTATTCTATAATTCAATACAAAAGATCAATTTGACATGGCATTATTAAGTGATTACATTATTACTGAAACATATAAATTATTACATCTAAAATATTATATTTGATGTGTGTCCGATAAAAAGAATTGTTAATAATTTAAGAACCTAATTTCAAAATGGTCAACAAAACCCATACAGTCTTTGGACACAATTATTGACCTGAAAATCGAGTTACAACAATTTCTAATTCATCGAGTTAGACTAAAATTTGATGACCTTGTGTGAAATTAAACAATGTCATTATAAGAAATTGGTTGAGTTTGATTTTAATTTTAGTTTATTGTTACTTACATTATTTAAATACTTATTTATGAATGTTAAAAATATATCAGATTGTATGTATTTTACAAAATTGAAATATTGATTTTTAAAAGTGTATTGGCACTTCAATTGACCGAACTACAATTGGAGATGCAAGGTCGATAAATATGCTTTAGTTAGTGTTTTGATAATGAAGTATGTGGCAATATAATATTAATTATTATACATGTACGTATGGTATTGTGTACGCTAGTTTTGAACCGTGTGACCAAAAATAATTATTTTTCAACTACTTACCTATTTAATTTGGAACACTTGTAATCGGTATTTTAAAGTTTTTTTTTTTTGGAGGGGAACTTATATGGATACATATTTTTGTTTAATTTAAATTAATCTTTATTCGATAAATGGGTTCTTCGAGCGAATGAAAAAATTGCTAACTAGAGGTATCCATAGAAAACCACGAACACAATATTTATAGTTATTAAGGTGTACTGTTGTGATTAGTATGAAGTGTACACTTTACTGTTTTAGTTGTTCCTTAATTCATTATAATATACCTTTTGACAATATATATTATTTGTTTTTATGATTTTTTTTTTGGCTTTTGTATTAATTTAATTTATCTTATCAAACTATAATTGCATATTAATACGATTGTTGCACACAGTGCTCAAAATAACCGCCGTTTACAAGATTAACAGTAAACTTCAATTGATGATATAATATGACAGCCCCATCAATAAAAAACCCATTTCAATTGCTTTAAAAGTTTTGATCTCTAACAATAATATTGTAAAGTACAATACATTAGTAAGTAACTATCTACTAAAATATTAAACTGTTTTTTCAAAACAATTATGTAGTAAAATCATACTCAATACAATACTCAGTTTTTAAATTTATTAGATCATCTTGTGTTATGAATTATGATAATTGTTTACCTAATTCATAATCACTTGTTTTTTAATATATAGAAAACAAAAAGTGACCATTTTATGTAAGTGGATAATTACCCATCTTGGATTATACATAATTAATTATAATACAGATACCTATGTAAGTGTACAACGTATAAATTTTGAATGTATAATATTGCGGCATATCATTCCTCAGCAATGTTCGTATTTCTTGTTTAATCAAATGTACATATAATAATGACTTAATCAACTAAAATAATATCACACAGTAGGTAACATATGATGATATTATTTATATTACATTCATTTCATTTAAAGCAATTTTTTTTTTTCAATTATTTATTTATTTTGTAAATACATAATATTTTTTTATACGCATACTATATAGTATATAATATATACCTAATGTATACATATGATATAGTTTATAATATTACTATAAGAAAATATTTTCGGATTGACAGTTCTAGTAAATTCCATCATCCGCTACAAGTTGTATGTTTTTAGAAATTGTGTGAATTTTATCGACCAAATTTTTCTTTTATAGTTTTTTGCATCAAACTTTTTCTGAGGTGTTGTATACCAGAGGTGTATTTATGAGGTCACTGACCTGTATTTACGGGTAGGAGAGGTAGATCAGGTTCCCAGCAATTTTAAACACTATTAAGAATATGTAAAAATAGTACATACTATTTTCCTTAATAACATTATAGGTAACAACATGCCTTATTACTAATATGTAATTTAATAAATTTTATTTATTTATTTACTAATTTATCTAAATATATTTGTTGAAATAAGCAAATCATTTTATAAAATTTGGATTTTATTTTATTTGAATAATATTATTTCCATAGTCAGTATCTGTGTGTTCGTTCTAAATCACACTCGGCGCACGACCACATAGTATGTGAGTGTGTCTGGAAAATTTTGCAATGCAATTAATATTTAAAACAATATGATGTTTTTTTGTACTATAATAACTATTTTAAGCCTATGTTTTGCTATATGTTTAATATTTATCTACATAGTTTAAAAAATATTTATATATTTATAAATGTTTATAAAATTATATATTTTCATAATGTGAAACAGGGAGGGGCTCCCTCAGCTGGCTTTGTTAAAAAGAACTATGGCACTTACGCCCCAAAAAAATATTCCTAAATACTACCCTCTAGTGTGGACCGTCGATGCGATAGAAACCTAATTAATAGTACCTTCCTACTTCTGGGGCAGCTCCCTGGGGGAGCTATGTACTGAGGCCTCTTCCAAGCCCGTATTTCTAAAAAAATGTATTCTGTTAAAAACAAAAGTACAAAAAAAAAACAAAAAATTATAATAATGAAATTTTCTGAAAAATATGACTTAGCCCCCCTCCCCCTCTCCAATTATGTCTCTGAAGCCACCCCTACTTGTAACTATTTACAAAATTATATAAAGCTCCCAGGTAAAATCTAAACTTAAGAAATATTTAATTTTTGTAAATATATAGCAGGTATTATATGAGTGTATCTGATGAGAGGTTAATCGTTAAAATTATTAAACTTTATGTAAAAAATGTTCTACCTAAGGTTTTTAGTGGTTAAAAACATTCATATTTCTTACATATTTAGTTGTCTACCTAATAACTATATGCATTTTGATTTTAAAACAATAATCGAATTTATAAAATGGTTCTTAATGAAACCAAACTTACCACAGATAATGTTTGGTAGAATTATAGGAAACAGTAAGTAATGCATAATAATTTAAGGTAAATATGTAACTGTACGGTAAAATATTTGATCATAACGCAACCATATCTACAAATCTGTTTGTTTTTCAAGTTTTATTTTTCTTTCTTAAAATATCAAACAGTTAAAATATTTAGAATAATATTAAATTGTAATTAATCTTATATTAATAATATTAAAATCATTAAACCAAAATAATTAACACATTTCAACTAAGTAAAAAAAATATATCACCATTTGTGAAGTAAATACATGCATTATGAGTTATGATATAAGTGTATAATACCAACTAATCACTTCATACTTAACTGTTAAGACTTCGAAATTAAGATCAGATTTTTATAATAATTTAAGAAACGAAAAAAAAATAGAAATTACAATTTTCAAAAATAGTTAATTTTTCATTAGTCTATTACTCAATAATAAATACTTCTACATTACTTATAGGTACCTATGGTGTAAAAATAATTTTAAGAATATGTGTAGTCTCTATACTCTATAGAATTATGTTCTTAATAACAACAAAATTACTAGGTAATACGAAAATTGTAAAATAACCTATCTTCAGACACAAATGTACTGCCTACCTTTATCAATAAATTACTTATAAACATATCAAAAAACACTACTAAGCCTACTACCTATAAAGTACCAGAAAAAATAGATGATTGCATACATGCTATATAAAATATAATAACTCGAAAAAAACTTCATAGTGAAACAAATACATTTATAATTAGTGACTTTGAACAACATGTGAAATATTATACATAAATACAGATTTACAATAATAGTTACAACCTTCATGTATTCTACAATCGAACACGATATTAGAAAATTATATTAGTATAAGTAATATATTAGCTCATCTGTTTACATATTTCTCCGAGAATTTTATTTTAATATTTATATTGTGAAACTTGGGCAAATAATAGAATATATAGTATATAGAAACTGAGATAATATTTGTTTTTGAGTTTAATCGATAGCTTTTATTTGTCAATTACCTACCCAAAATAATAACTTATTTAAAGTACAGAAAATTGGGTACCGATTTTTATTTGAAAATTGAATAAATTCTCAAAACATTATGAGCACTACTTTACAACAATATAGGCTGATTGCTTAGGCCCAATAGCATAGAGAGTTTTATAAACATGTTTATTAATCAATAATAACAATCATTTTTAAAAAATGTAATAAAAATATCTAAATCGTTTGTGCTTCTTTTGCAACCCAATCCCCACTTATTCACTGCATTCGATACAGTATGGGAATGAATACACACGGGTACACGACATTACGTAAGCACATTGCATCATGCAGTAGAACACAAGATTTTTCGATTCTATCGGCTACGTAAATCAACTAAAGTCTAAAATCTATTAGTTATAAGCTAATACTTGTATACACTTATAGCTAATTAAATCTATTCAGCATTTCTAATTGTCATTGTAACTGAATACTATAGTAGATGTATGTCATATAATTAGGAACACAAATCATAACGTTATAATATAAATTATAAATACCGAAGGTAAACGGTAGTAGGTAGATATAACATGTATGATATAATTAATACATATTACTCATTTTGTAAGTGACTTAAACGTTAGGTAGTAAAAACGTATGAGAATTCTGTAGAAGATTATGACAGCTGATAGGTATAATAACAAGTAATACAGTATGTGTTGCATTAGTACTCATTGTTATTTAAATAAATGCTTAATGTAAAATATGAATTTTAATTACAATAATAGCTGTCATCACCATTAATGTTAAAATTATGACACATTATAAAATGCTCAAAATAAATTAATGTTTCTAAAAAATCATTTGAAAATAGGTACTTCCTAGTTATAGTTGTCACAATATTTTTACATACAAATTATTATTGACAGTTCTCAGAGATGATCATTTAATGAAAATGGGAACTCCAAGTTTCAGAAAAAATCTACACGTATCTATGAACCTACAGAAAAAAAGTAGCTACCTTCATTAGATAGTTACTTAATATATTATTTTTAAATTGAATTGTAATAACATTCTCAATTATCGTGAACTGATAAACGGGCCCCAAGCGCAGAAAACCAGATTTTAAATCTTGAGACATACCTAGATCATACTACATCATTATTAATCTAATTTGATATGTATATAGGTATATAGGTAAACGGGATTAGTGGCATTGACTGTATACACAATACACCGTAAGCCTAATCTAAAGAAGTCTTCAAACGATAACAGTTCAAGTAGGTATATTTTTTATATAATTAAGTATTATTATTTTTCATAGAACTTAGATAGAATTGTCTTCTTCTTTAAGCCACATTTTTATTTAGAGGTATCTGGTAAAACTTAGATAAAATATGTTTTGAATAACTTTATTTGATTTTAGAACATTACAAATTTATACATTTTATTAGCGTGACATATTGATGTATAATAAATACATAGCTAGGTAGGTCACAAAATTAAACTACAATTAAAAATACTAAAATATTTGATTAATAACATAACTATGTTTATTACAACACACAAATACTTCAAAAATATAAACATGTTCAAATGAAACGAAGGGTTTTTTAAATATAGGTAATTCCTGAGAAGTATTTCCAGAAAAACAAATTCATCTAATCTAGTTTTTGATAATGATTCAGGATTCTCTTATGATCAGATTTTTATGAAAGCGAGAAATTGTACTGCAATGACTATCCTATTGGATTTAATCAATTTTTTAATAACATTTTTTTTTTAACAACAGTCTTTAAAAAATTATTTTTGGATTAAATAACCAATGAGAAAATATAAGTTAGCACTCAAAAGAAAAATGCAGCAAAATGTTTTCTACTGTTGCTCTTATTTAATTAAAATTGTTTAATAATATTTTTAAATTTACTATGTACTAACTACCTTTAAAATCAATAATAATAGAATATTATTTTTTAAATTTTAATTATAAGATAATAGTGAGTGTAGCAGAGATGCTAATACTAAGGTGTGGATGTGTGGAGTGGCTATCGAAGATAAAATAATCAATTAATTCGTTAGAGAATGATACGTAAATAGCTGGTGTGAGTAAAGCGGAGGTGGTTGCAAAGCCCTTTAGAGATGTAGTACGCCAAGGCGGTGGCCGACCCCGTATAGTCGGGAGCGACGGGCAAAGAAAAGGAAGAAGAAAATATAAACCTTTACCTATATCATACTACATAAAAATATTGAATATCACTCTTTATTCCAATTATATGTATATACTAACTTTTCCAAATCATACATACATAAATGTTTCAAATATTATTTATATCAAATTAGAGCAGTTAAATAATTACTAAATTAACTCAGAACTCAGGAAATGAAATTGTCAAAATAATTGTTTATAAAATATGAATTAAGATTATTGTGATATTATATACTCATAATCTTACCTTATAATTCCGAAATTCAGCCATCTTAAAATTGCACTGTCAAACAAACAAAATAATTTTAACAAATTATGATTCCTTGTACAACCTAGAATAAATAGAAATAATATATTATTAATTGAAAGTTAGTTATATTAGTTAATAAAATATATTCTTAGAGGTATAAATTCACATATCACATATAGTGTAATAGTATATCAAATATATTTGATAACTATGACGTATGGGAATGAATTAGACATAAATTAAAATTTTAAAATGTTAACTTATCATTCAAGTTCATTTATAAATGTACCGTTTAATTTTCTTCTGAAAAAGATGCATGCAGTGTTTTTTAACTATCATTTCATCCAACATAATCTACAATAATCTGCAGTAGCTTTATAAATAAATTTTAAGATAATTTGATAATTCTATTATAACTGTATTTATAGGTAAACACAAGAGAGGAAAAACTCTTGAGGCCTCAGCCCTTCGAAAATTGCAATAACCCTCTCCCTGATAGAATTGTATATACATCCATAGACCATGTAAATATTAATCGCGGGCTTCCAGGACACTTAACTTTTGATTATGCAAGTTGTCCACCTTACTCCAATAAAAAAAATTAATTCAACCAAAGTTCTGCCTAAATGGTTGTATCAGCGAAATATTAAAACTTGTACTTATTTATAAGTATTACCAATAGAATTCAAAAGAGGTTTTCACAATATTTAAGAAAATTCGAAAATATATAATACTTAATTATATGAAAGAAAACAATAAATTTCACATTTTATACAAACACAAAACGGAATACTAAATATTTAACCATGGTAATATATTTGTGTTGCAGTATTTAATTTTATGTTTGAAAATAATGATTATGCAAAACAGTTTTCGATGGGCCTGATTCATAATGACTTATAATGATTCTATGTTCTTACCGCCTTGGAATTCATGGTCAAATGATTTCATTAACACTGAAAATTGGGACGAATACAACGATGTATGTATTAACAATTAATTAAGGATTAGAAAATAAAATTCATATAATCAAAAACGATTATATAGCAACCTGTATTTAAACACCCCGGTGGCCATGAATGCCTACCAATAGAAATTGCTCAGAGTGTCAAACTATGGAAAAGACCTGGCGAAATATTTAGCATTGATGGACTTACCGTCCAGCCTAAAGGAAATGCAAGCGATATAGATAATTTATTGACCACCAATGAATCACTAATGAATGTTAAAGTAATAACAGTATTTTTATTTTAGTTTAATTTTAAGTTAACAGTAACATTTTATTTTATTTTATCCGCATCGAGATTATATTTTGTTTGCATGGTTAATGAAGTACCTAGGTACCTATAGTATGTAGATATATAAGAATAACATTGGTTTTCAAAAGTAATAATTATTAATTATTGTAACATGGCGTATAACTGTTTATGTTTAACTTAAATTGTATAATAATATAATTTTGCGGTGACCTATACAATATTTATACGATATACCTACGTACTTACGTACTTTAAATAACAATGCAAAATTATTTTAAGTAAAATTCAAGGCTTTGCAAAATAGGTACTTAAATTTTTTAAAGAAATATTCTTGTGTTCAAAATATTATTAGTTTAAATTGTTTTGAATGTTATTCGATATTTAATTCGAAACAAGACTCCCCTTTAAGGTTTCAAATATAAGCCTACTTCAAAAAAATTCCTTTTATATATGATTTCTTAAAATGGGCAAATGGCAAACTATAAGACTTGTGTTAGGTTACCAGTACATATAATGAAAACAGAATTGTATTGTCGGTTCGCCCAATATTACCAGTACATATGGCCATTATGCACAATACAGAATACTACAGATTAGTGTAACAATAATTATAGTGTTGTATTTCACAACATACCTAACAACCTGACCAGCAACGGAGTGCTCATTGGTACCTATACATTTTTCATTTGAATTCCGTCGTATCAATATTTTTGATAATTATATATAAATTTAAATAAAAGTCATTTTACACATTAACATTATTTAACAAATAAATAAATAAAACCCATATTTTCACTTTAATACATCACTTAACTAGGATAATATTCTATACAGGATATTATTGGCAGTAAAACCGCATATTTTCATGTATTTTAGTAGCCTGTAAGGACGTATATTTGAAGATTTTCTAAAATTCTATCAATACGTTCATGAATTATATATCTAAATTGTTATTGCTTGTTGGTGAAACTAAATTTAATCTAATTTTACTCATAGGAATTATGAAAAATAAATCGGTACTCAACAGTCTTACAAAAAAAATCTCCCATTATCTCTAGTTCTCGATTTATTCAACATGTTCATTCTATTGTTCAACATGGGGTGATGGGTATACACCGCAAACGAAATAGGTACCTATACGGTCCTAAAAATACGACGATATACGTAATCGCAATCGCACATGGAAAAAAAAGGACGAAATGAACAATAATGACTTACGGCACTACCATAACGTATCTATCTCTTCTGGCTCATCACCTGGCCACCTGTTGCTACCAATATAAATTTACGTTGAGTACGATGGACGAAACTGCACAATTTTGCCTAACTAGCCGTCGACGACTGCTTTAAAAAAAAACGCACCCTTTTTTATTTCTACTCCAAGAAGGTTTGACAGACAAACCAAAAATCGTTAGATAAAACCTCACACTTAATAAGTTCATTGCGCATATCGTGTTGACATATTGTAGCAATGAACTGTTTTTATCTACAGACGACAGACCATTTTGTCCGATACCACATGTACAATACATAATGATCGTATATAAATATAAAAACCAGTGAGGGGTGTTTTAGTAGTAGGTAGAGTAGTGTCAGTACTGTACACACCACTAGCTGTAGTATAAATACTGATGTACACATCTGTACCTAGGTAAAATATATAGATGTGGTTACTGTGTATGGTGTATCGATATAAAATGTTTTAAACACAACTTTTTCATAATTTTTCCTAGGATATCATATAGATTTGTAAAAAAAAACCGGGCATCGGATACCAGCCAATAAAACCGAAAATGTATTTTATATTTAAATTTTGAGAAGAGACATAAATATTAAGTATGAATAATAAATTTTAATTTTAAAAATATATCAATTTGGACAACTTGTATACTAATTTTAAAAAAAAACCATAAGTGCTCCGTTTTTTGGATAGGTATCTCAGATAGAACATTAAATTTAACTAAATTTAAAAACAATTTTCGGTTTTGAATTGAACGACACTAATATATTATTATAATATTAATAAAATAAGGACTTACCAATTTGCCGTGGAGTCGGTCGAGTCCGCACCCTCTTATGCCCCTGTTTGAATCGCGTCGGACGTGCGCACACGTGCTCTGACGATCGTGTGTGTGCGGCGACTGGCGCGTGTCTGTATACGGAGTACCGCGATCACTGCACGGTTGTGACGTGCGGCGACGAAAGCGACGGCGACGGTGCGACGGCGACGACTGAAACGGCGGCGGCGGCGGCGGCAGCGCTCGACGACAAAACGATAGAATAAAAATTCGGTTCGTCTCGCACCCGATAGGTCACTGGCCCTGGCTACGGTTCTTGTGACGCCCCCCACCCCGATGTCGGTCATCGGGCGGCGTTGTCGTCGGCTCGCTCCGGTCGTCTCGCTCCCGTCGCGGGTGGTTCGGGGACGGCTAAACTGCCCCCCGGATCCCGGCGCGCGCGCTCTGACTCGCAGACCTTGAACTTGGCGACCGCAAGCGACACCACTTCCTCACCGACCTCTCGTGCCCCTGCATCGCAGCTCCGTCTTTGGATCTCGTGTGGTGCGACGGCAAGAGTACTGTAGCGCTGTTACATTATACAAGGTAGAACTATGTCGTATAAAATAAACAAATCAAATGTAATCGATCATCGACAAAAGAATTTTTATAATAAGCCGCTATACGTCAGCTAAATTATTGTTGAGAATTTAATGTTCCTTGTTTGCACTACCTTAACATCTACATAATATGGATAAACTCAAGGTATTCAATATTTATTAAATGTATGACCTTATGGGTCGTAGATGGGTTACCTACATTGAAAATTATATCAGAAAACTTTACATTTTCTAAAAATGATTTTAAACTAGAATTTTGAAGTTTTTTATAACAGCATAGCGCATACCATCAGCGTTGATAAAAGTTGACAAAATTCGTTGTTAAACCAAGAATATATTAAATATAAAATGTTTGTATTGAGCAATACAAAAATAAAAAATAAAATGTTTGAATGAAATAGAAATAGTTTTTTTAATGTTGTGTTAACTTAAATCGATGTTTAATTGTTCTACAGATTTTTCACAAACAAAACCACATAAAATTTAGTCACATCTTTGTACTTAATGTGCTTGTTTGGAAATTAAGAATCAACTATAACATTGCAAAATATATGGAAAATTATAATAAATAATTAATAGTGAACAGTTTACTATACATAAATAAGTCACTGTAAGAATAATATTGTTTGAATAATATAAAAATAAAAACATAAAAACATTTTTAACTCAAAATAATTTGCAAATGTTCTTGACTTTGATAAATTTTGCAAAATTCCTGTGAAATAATGCTTTGATATTCAACTTCAATATCTTATCTGGTGGAAAAGTGAATCTAGCTGGTGTATTCGGGAGGTCAAAATTTAAAATTCCCTTTAGTTTTCAAAAGCACCGGGAAAAACAAAAAAAATATTAACTAAAACGAGAATTTTTATGCTAATCTGGTTTTTGACAAAATCGATTTTGGTTTTTCTAGTAACTCTACAAAAATTACCTTAGAATGTAGATCCATGAAATTTTCACTGAATGTTAATACTAACATTTTCTATACACAAAAAAATGTTTAAAATAAGTTGATTCTTGGTGAGCTATTATAGGCATATGTAATTGTTAATTATAATTAGTTATTTTAACTTATGTCAATACAAAAATTTTCGCTCCGTTAAGAAACTTTAAAATATAATACAAGGCTTTTCGCAAGTTGTTGTTAGTGGAAATTAAAAAAAAGTTGCGTGTGAATCCACTATAATTTTTTTGAGTAGGTATATTATTATATTTAATACACACACTGACATTTTCAAATGCAATTGTTTTGACAAAAATGAATTTAACCTATTATAGTTTACTAATGCCTATTATATAGTGAAAGGAATAAATCACTTATCACAATAATATCATGAAACATGCCTGCTTAGTACCTAATAACTAATAATATAAGCTAGCCGTCTTTGCTCAGAATGGTTTTTCGTATACAATGACTCGTTGAATTCAAATTTAAGTAATTTACTCATCTATTATAGTGACTTCCTAGACACCTTATGTACAGCAAAACGCAGCCCACTTACCTAATTTTTTTACTTTTGACCTCCTCAAAATATTAACACTATCAAACTTTTGACCAAAAACCAGCCACAAACTGAAGATTGAAGGAATTTTTATTGCCCCTAATTCACACAAAAAAAAAACACCAGTGTAAACCAATACATTCGTCGCTCCCCGCTTAGAATTTGAAAAAATATCACATCAATGTAAATAACTAATATATTTATCACTCCACAATAATCTGAAAGATACAAAAATGGAAGTTAATTCTCACAAACACTTTTATTATTATAAGAGTAAATTTATAATAAAATCTTTTCAACGATATTTAAAATTGTTTTTTTAATTAAATCTAATTATCAATACATTTCAAATCAGAACACTTATATGCATTATTAATTCAACGGATAAGTACTCGTAAATTAGTTAATTATCATAACTACTACAATTATTTATCAATGAAATGTGACTTACTCTAGCGACTCGTCAATTTAATATAAACATTATTTTATTTCTTATAACCCAAGGTCAATATTTTATGTAGAAAATTAAAAAATGTATGAAGAACGGTTTTGTATTTTTAATAATAGTCAACTATTGAAATGCATTACAATGATAGGTTCCTTAATCGTAGGTTTCATTCACCACCTTCAACGTATATATTTTGAATACCATGTAAATGTCGGATATTGTAGATACTTTTTCTTTGGATAGTTGTTTTTAAAAAATTTGTAACACACGAATTACCAGTATACTACATCAATACCTCCATCAATTACCTTCAAAGACAAAAAATGATGAACCTAACCAAATGTTCTTAAAGACACTAGAAAAATGAACTGGCGACTGGTGTAAAATACTATGTTATTCCTTGTGTGTTGTGTGTTTATATTAAAATATAACATAACGATGCAGCGACTATGACTTTTGCCCCACTATTAGTTACCTACCCAGTTGTTCTATAATGAACAACCTATTTGTGAGCAATAAGCGCTGTCATGAAAATAGACATGCGAGTATGTACGTATACTGTGTATATTATAATTTATACTAAAGCTTATAAGGTTTCCATATAACTAACCGGTTACCAATAAGACGACTAACATTAACCAGCTAGTGTATTCTACAAAATCATATCGTTAGAGATGATCGCAATTTAAAGAGCGTGAAACTAAAAATTTATTTTTGAGTTATTATGAGCCAATTTTTAATATTTTGTCAAATATCCAAATAAAATGTATGAAATGTAAACTCTTAACAATTTAATGTTTTTAATAATTGTATACATACATATATATATATATATATTGCACAACAAGTATTCAAATAACCAAAACAACTAAACACCATACACAAATATAAAATGTGAAACATGATTTATAGTTTTTTCTTGATTTACTTGAGAAATAATTATAATAATTATTATTCCAATAATATTGTTACAATAATGTACGTAACATTTCTAATAATTTAATCGATAAATAACTATCTTCATCGTATAGAGGTACCTACCTATATACAATTTCATTTAAAATATATTTAGATCGTTCAACTAGGTAACAGTTAAGTGGTTAAAAATGATGAAAAAATGAATACGTTTTAATAAACTACAATTTTTTATTATATTAAATACGTATAAATGTAAAGTGGCATTAATATCAGATTATGATATTAAAGGAGAGGATCGTATAACATACCTACTATTCATACATAGTGTCTCATAATATTCCGATGGTTTGTATGATAGACTGACATAACTTATACATCTCAGAACTGAAACACTCTGTGGACATGTAGTGTGTATATAGTGTAATGAAAAATAATAATTATCATCATTATCATCGAAATTAAAAATATGCACCATAGGTATAATAATATCATACAATGAATGTAATCTATACACGTTGTTTTTTTTACTCTGTAATTATTTTCTATACATTTTTGAAAATATAATTATTAGTTGTATAATAGTTATAGTGCGAATACTACTAGAGTAATAGTAAATGTTTTTCATTTATATTTATAATTATGTATATTTGTAATTATACGTTATGTTACTTAAAATATGTCATCGATATGCTTCTAAGGAAGAAAACATAGATTTATGTACCTTAACTTTAAATACAATTTTACATTTTTACATTCCACTTGATTCAGGTTTATCGGTGGATTCTGTATCACATTGTGTTGTATACAACTCGATTTAAAAATAAGTGGCCACAACCATGGCATCCATCTAGCGTGGTTTTTTCACGTTGCAAAGCTGAAGTAGCGTGGAATAAAAAATCAAAACCAGAGTATAATCCATATGGAAAATATTGGCTTAAATTGTTTTACATGGTTTGTATGAAGTTAATTTTTCATCATTTAAACAACAGTTATAAAATAATTTATATGATTTAAATAATAAATAAAAACATGGAAAGACTTAAACATTGATATATTATTCAAGGGAAAGTTTCGTATGATATGCGTCAGCGATCATTTACCAATAAGTGCCGATGGCCGCATTTTATTGCCTCTATGCGAAGACAGCAAAGTTCTTTGGTTACCATTACTTGTCAAAGGACTGTTACGTATTTACTCTCTGGCCGACGATTTTGATCAATTCAATACAATAACATGTCTCACTGGATGGTCTTGTATTCAAACAAATTGCCAGTAAATTTACATTTTAAATTACATATTATTTTTATTGTGTGTCTATATTTTAAAACAATTTTTTTTTGTAACTCAGTTACAAGAGTAATAATTTAATTTAATCCTTAATTCTATAATTCTACACCAATATAAATTTTGCTTGTATTCATGATTATTAAATTATTCTACTCTTTAGACTCATTTCAAAAGAAAATCTATGGTCATCGATTTTATCTCACTCTTCAAATTCGGATGTTGGGCATTTAGATTTAGACAGCAAATCAAAAAATAAAAAAAACCCTAAACATAAGGATTGTTTTCAATTAACGACTACCGCAGGCACTCAATGCCACCACGACGAATTTATGTCAATTTATGGATCAAATCCCCCGAACTCAATAGTTATTGGGTTTATATTGTCACCAACTATGTATAAAGTAAAATACAATAATTATAAATACTTAAGCTACTACTACCTAGTAATGTCACGATAACCAGAGGTATAAACAGAACATCTTATTATCACATTACAATTATAATAATTTCAAAAACCTGATTTTAAGCAGACCAACTTTACTGTCTGATTGGGAAAGTTTAGACTATCCACTAAAATAATTGCCACTATTTTACCAAAGTCATATCATTGGATAATAATAATATATTCCTTATTGTGTATCTGTATTCTGTATACATTCTGTATTATGATGTAATAAGTAGTTTCATAGGTTATGAGAAAACCTTGAAATTTCCAATTATGATTTCATTATATAACCCCCGAATATTCATTAATATTAAGCGTGTTTTTATTCTTAAGATATTAAAATATTTTACAACCCAAAATGTCAAGAATTATCTACTTGTTAAAACTAAATGATTCTTTCAGTCTCTCTATAAACTATCTTATAAAGAAAACTTTTATTATGTATTCGGGAATCGGAATACTTATTTAAAAATATTTTATTATATTTTATATCGTGATGATAGTACAATAATATCATACTTATAGGTTTTTTTCATAATAATAACATATTTTTTGGCGCTTAAATAGGTAATACTTAAAAATATCAATACATATTTATTTTCGTTGTCCTTAAAATGCTTTAAAATTGAACATAGGTACCTAGGTCCTAAGTATAGTGACATTTTATAAAATCATAACAAATTGGTGACAAAAATATAATTCTTTTTAAATAAATTTAGAGGAGATAGTCCAACTTTTATTAAGTACATCTATATTCTAGGCCAGAGGTCACTAATTAATATTTTTGAAGGATATAATTAATAATGATTCAGATAAAATTGGTGACTCCTGTTCCAGGATCCAGAACTTATGGAGTAGGGTTGTTTGCTCTTTGTTAGCATAGAGACAAAGTTTGGCTGCTCGGGATATCTGGCCCTGCAGTCTATTAGTATATACTCGTACTAACAATATATTTTTCTTTGACCTTTCTTATACATACCTAATGTTGTGTTTTAAACAAATTAATATTTAAATACTAATTTATTATCATTTATCACATTTGATAAAAATTAACGCGATTTTGGGATTTGCTTGTAACATTTGGGTAAGAGACTCACAGTTATTTCAAACTCAAAAAAAAATATTATGTTAATTGTTCATTTAATCATTTGAATTTTTTTCCCAGCTTGAACTTAGGTTTTAGAATCTCTTGTTTGTATACTAGTTATTAATATTAAACTATTCATTTAGGGGAATAACCTTAAGCCATTGGGCCGATACTCGCAACCAATGTTTTTGAATTACGTCAAGATGATAAAGAATAAATCATTACCAACTTGGAAAAAATATCGATGGGCGAAATGGGCAACTGACAATAATTTAATCAGAAAACATGGTATACCTATGTAACTAATTGCATCAATTGTTAGTAGCTTATATTTCATACTCACTAAAATGAGTATTATTGTATTAATACTGCTGCCTACTTAATGTTGTATGATATAGTATTATAAATTATAATAGTTAAATCATAAATTAATAACAATTTACAGTCTACAATAAATTTTAACCGTATAAAAACTTCAATAAGTACCACTTGTAAATAGGTTGACTTTAAAATTAATTTCTACCTACTTATATAAATAACACGGTGGAATAAAAAAAGTACTCTAGATAGTCTGTACACATATTACATAATTCTACTGTGAGTACAGGGAAAAAAACTTATAAAATAATGAAAACATTTTAAATTCAATATTTTATTTGTATAATTTGTAAACAATCTACAAATATGTAAATATTTTTTTTATTTTTGTACCTATGTACTATTGTATAAATTAATTAACAGAGATAATATAATAGCTAAATTTATGTTTTTCTAAATGTGTACATTAAAAAAGTAAATAAAAACGACTACTTATCAAGCTATACCTACTTTAAAGACGAAGAAAATATTATTTTAAAATTCCATATAAAAATAACAACTTGAAATTATGCGAATATTTAAGATACAAAGTAAAATATTGTATTATTTGTCATAAAGATTTGTAATCTTACATTAATTAATGAATATTGATTACTTATTTTATATTAAATATACCGGTACAGAGATAATTTTTAATGGTTAGAAAAATTATATAGATATAACACATAAAAATAGATACCTAACCAAAGTTATTGCATTGAGTAGGCACACTCAAACATAGTATAATAAGCACATTTTAAATACAGTTTCTTAAAAAATGAGATTAAAAAGTAGTGATTTGATAACAATTATAGGTGATTTTACTTTCGACTAATTTCAAATGGTTTTTTAAAAGAATAATTTAAAATTCAATACCTATTGATTATTGTTGTTATATAAGATATTATAAATAAATATAATAATGATAATACATTAATACATAGATACCGTTTTGATAGTTAGAAAATAAAAATAACAAAATTAATTAATGATTTTAGATTCTGAGCGGAGTGATGAAGTAATTGATTTTACAATGATGTGTGCTTTTTTGTGTATGTGTGTGTGTTTATGTCCACGAAAAGAAGTTGAAAAAATATTTCGATTTTCAAATTTGGTGGTGATTTTCGGTAAAAAATTAGATTTAGTTGGTGCATTTGAGAGGTTAATACAGAAAATTCCCAGACATTTTCAACAAGAATACCTGTTACTAACCTCAGGAAAAAAAGGAAAATTAAAAAATACGGGAATTTTTAGGCAAAACCAATTTATGACAAAATAGATTTTGGTTTATTTGTAATAACACAAAAACAATTTACCGTAGATACTTTAAATTTTTACCATATGCTCATAAAACCATTTTAAATACAAGATAATATTTTCCAAATATATTGACACATTTTTAGCTATTTATTTACACTTCAAATTTAATTATTTATAAAAAATATCTATAAAAAAATTTTTTCTTGGTCATAAAGTTTATTAGTTTAATAGATACAATGATTTTATAATATCATTGAATTCAAATTTAACACATCTATTTCATTGACCCTTTCGACTTTTTCTGTAGGTATATCAAAGCGGCACACTTTTTTTATTTATTTTGTAGTTGTCTAATGACAATATTCTAGTATAATATCATATTTTCAATTTTCATACGCATAATTATAAATAGTTTAAGTAGGTAACATATTTCAATAGCTTACATTCTACAATTAATAGGGTTGGTAAACCCTGATTCTATCCGACCCTCCGACATGTGTGTTTACTATTTGTTAAGGTTAAAGATGATTTATTTATATTATAATATAAGAATAATGTTAATGTCCTGATAATAACGTGATAGTAATTTTAATAAAAATATTTCAAAGATTTTAAGGTCGTTGACCGATTATTCTCGTTAATATTGAATAGAATTGAATATTGATGTTAAATGTAATTAGTATTACAATAGGTATACATCGTATTGTTATTATATTATTTATAGCATTATTAGTTTGATTATATAATGTATTTAAATTTAAATGTAGACGTGAACGTTTAATCATATTTACTGCGTACTTCGTTGGTAATTATCAAATTTTAAAGCCTTAACAAAAGAAAGTTAAGTTTAAGAACACAAATTAGCTATTTTTTATCCCATTTTTAGAGTACTTAAATTTGTTTTTATACTGACTTTTATATTACATAATATATGAGAAAAATAAAAATGTTCCAACCACCACAGCATTAAATATAGGTAAGATTCAACTAATCACTATATACCTACCCAAGTGTATGGTTTTTTCAAAGTCAAATGAAAAAATTTGTGCCAAATGTAATACCACAAAAATCAGTTTTTGATATTCAATAGTAGAACAAATTTTACATTTCATATTAATATCAAATAATTACCTGAAAATATTTTTAAGTATTTTTAAATAATGAAAATTTTCCGTGCTTAAAACAAATATGCTGTTTATATATAATTTAAAATTGGAAAGTATCATATCACAAAAAAAATTGCACCGAAATACTAAACACGTTTACCAAAGAGTCAGTGTTATCAACAAAATAACAGTGACACTCGTCGTGGGTATGTCAATAGTAATCACATTCGAATAATCGCTTTTTTGATATTTACGCTAGCTTCTACTACGCGTGGCAAATGAAAATAATAAGTAAATTATTAACTTTTAATTGGTAACCATTAATTTTATAATCACAAATTAAATATGTAAGTTAATTTAATTTAATTATTTTTGCTAGCTTTAAAAATAACAAAAATAATTTATTATTATTTTGGTCTTCAAATTACAACAATTCTCAATTAATTTGAGTACCGATATTATTGCTTTTTACTGAGAAACGGCTGTTATGTTTTCTAATAACATCTAACTCCCAAAACTCAACACCTTCCTAAGCATAATAAAAAATATATTATGATAAGCTGCATTTATAGCTCCATCTTATGTGTAATGGATCACAGAAAAATTGTATTTTTATGATAACAATTTCAGATATTTTCTTGTTTTTTATTTAGAACTAAATGATTTTATGAGATTGATAAATGTATGCGCACCATGCTCGGCCATATTAAATCAATCGTCTCCACTGATGAAAGTCCTAAATAAACATAAATCCAATGGACAAGACAGTGAATACGAGCTTGATTTTTCATATCTAAAACCTTTTACTACGTATACAATTTAAATGGCATTCAAAATACATCGCTACGCATAATATCACAACATTTATTATTTCAGATGTGTGCAATTTTACATCAAAAAATACCAATCGTTTCGATTTATTAAGTCAGTCGTCTTTGAAAACGAAGATAGTCCGGAAAACGATATTTATCAGTCTACAAACAATCAATGCTGCGCATATTTACGTATCCTTTTTCTGTGCGACGGAAATAGATTTTAACATTACATACTTGAACGCTGCACATAACTATAGTTGTATGTATTTATTTATGTTTAATATTTCTTAAAAAAAAAAAAATAGATTTCGAGTCACCGTATTGCCAGGCTATGCTTTTCACATTATCAGTGTGCAAAAACTATACAATCCATAACGGTAATATTGAACTAGACGCGCCTTCAAATCGCTATGTAATTGATTGTCCATATATTAACGTGGAACAATTTCTCTGGTACGAGACGAAACTTCCGACACCGCTGTCTGCCATTCGCACAAGAGGAGTGTCATACGTCGTGATAAATTTTAAACCTGGGTGAGTATACATATTATACCGTCTGCAGCGTACATTCAACATGCGCAACATTTACATATACGTGTAGGGCGTAATAATACTTGTATGGTATATTATTATAATAGTTATTATCATTGTTATTATTATTATTATTATTATTATTATTACTACTATTATTATTATTACAATTATTTACTTCGAGTTCATGCGTTCGTATATGAAAACCAACAGAATTAACGTGTTGAAAATATGGGGTGAACTGCCGGCCAAGTATTCGCTGACAATCGAATCGACAGTAGACTTCTCCCTCCTCAATACGGTGAAAACCGTTTACGAAAAACTCACCAATCGACCCAAATCGCTGACGGCCTTACTAGGTGAGTTAGTTCTGTTGAATGTTTGATTATGATAGAAATCTTAGTTAAACACTCGAGGTATTCCGGTACTCGTACTAATAAAATATAAAATGACACGTGGTATTTCACAATATTCCCGATGCGTGGTTTTGTGTTGAGAAAATTACTATTTTAAAAACAACGAGTTACTTAATATTCTACATGCAAACGTTTAACACCTGACGGTGTTGTATGTTCTTAGAGTAATTTTCTCATCGTATAGTACTTGAATAGAACCAAATAAAAATGTTGAATATTCATTATTCATATACATGATATTACATATTTTTAGTGCCTTTAAAACAAACGTTTTCACAACTATGTACCACGGAGCCAAATACAGGTGACCGTGGACAAAGCTTACTAAGATTTTACTCTATGTTTATACCACCCTCCATTAAAAACGAAACCGAATTGGAGAAGATTGAAAGATTATCGAATATTTCGAAAGTAAATAAACGATATTAAATTAATTAACAATAGGAAATATGATTAGAACTATAATTGCTTAGTATACATTCGTAGACAATTCAATCGGCCATGGTAAACATTATAGAGAGTAAGTCTCCTAATGACCCAAACCCTTCGGCAGAATTATACACGGAATTACAAGAATTATTACAAAACAAATCATTGGGACTAAAACAGATTTCAGCATTAGGTTTAAAAAATAAAGCCATACATAAACCGAAATCTGCTTCAAGTCCGAAAAAAATAAAAACCGAAAAGTCTATAGTAATAAAAAAATCTGTTGTCAAATCTAGAATAGGCCATGGTAAAAGTCCCACGTAAGTATTGAAATCAGTTCAATAGAATCGTACAACATGATTTTAAAAATGATTATTTTTATTAGGTCAGTTTCGTCTAGACCGCAAAGCAGTAAACCAACGGCATCAAAAATTGTTTATGCAAATATGTTTGAAGTATTATGGTAAGTTCATTTTTTTTCTCTTAGATTTACATTTCATAATATTATATATGTGACATGTAGCAATGTATTGCATTCTGGCGAGATTGACTTGGATGAATATCATTTTAAAAATGATTTATTTAATTATGTGGTTAATGTTCATTTTGATGAGCATACTGCAAAACCTATCGATACGCTGTTATTGTTTCGTCTAGAACTAAATACACATTCGAAATCAGTAAGTTAAATGAATTAATCAAAAAATAAACAATATTGTAAAATTATAAGCAACGAGCTGAGTTACACGGTAAACTCACCCAAGTAATAAATATATAGTTTTGTTTTTCTATTTACTATTTAGTTTAACCAACTATTTATAGATAGTTACAAATAACTTTCCAAACATTTTTTTTTTTAAATCTACCTAACTTTTATTATTTTAACTAGTCTGCTATCAGGAGGTACACTATTGATGCACAGAACTTTGCTATGTTTTTGATGGAAAAAAAGCAAATTGGTAAATCTTGGGACTTAGGAGGTGGAACATCTCTGATAAAATTGTAATTAACTCACTGATTAAGTAGAACATTCAAATGCAATGTGAGCATCTCCCTTCCTCCACCAAAATTATTGTCGTGGTGAAACGCCCTCCAAAAGGGGGTTGATTTTAGCATTATTTTTAACATTTATAACCATACATCATAATATTTATGTATTTATATAGAAATGGAAATTGCAGAACGCCCAGCACCAACATTCTATCTATTCTGCTATTATTTATAAAAATTCATAACACAATTGTGTCTAAATATACTGAATTGGAATTATTCTTAAAGCCTGCTCTGTTGTATTCTCTATACATTTAAAAAAAACAATTAAGGATTGGATAAGTAGTTCCAGGCCAACCAGTCACAAAAATAATAATAACAATAATTTCAGTCTTATAATTATATGATATGATATTTTGTAATTATTTGTTTACTTTGTACATGGAATAAATATTCTTAAATTATGGAAAAATTAATAATGCTTACATATATGAGAACAATATTTAGATTGTAGTTTTTTAAACTCCGACTGTAGTTATTTTTAATAATAATATCATTGGAGGCGCTATTAAAAAAATATTTCTTCAGCTGTATTTGCATAATAGATTTGAAGCAATAGGAACCTATATAAGATCAGTAAAAATATGTATTTAGTACCTTTGCTAAGTGCTAAGTAATCTTATCTTTAGAATCGTATAATAAACAAATAAAACTTGAAAGCTATGCTTGTTAGACCAGAAAGACAGCTTAAATTAATTGTTTTAGGAATTGGTGCCAACAGTTATAAAATTTTCATACAAAAATAGCGACAATTTCAATATTAATTTAACTTTGATCAACAACGATACTCAAATGGAAGTCATACCAATGAACATTGACATGAGTATGTATATGGTTAGTAATACTTCTAAGGGATACTCGCTAATAGGATGGACTTCAGAAAAAAACCTAGATTTAAAAAATGTTAGTTATAAACTTGATTTATTTGGACGACCGTATGAGATCTTACACTCATGCGGAACGCAAAAGGATTATAGCTTACAGAAATACAACACAACGGTGTGTGATCATATTAATACGCCCGATTTTGTTAATAAGCATGTGAAAAATAGGTTTTACAAGCCTAATGCTGAGAACCTATTGGCTAGGTAAGTAATAAGTAGCATATATTCCAAAAACGTAAAACATATTGATTATATTTTATTTTTCTACCCACTGCCCAGGGCGATTCTTAACGTTGAAAAAGCAGCTTTGTACACAATATACTGTCATCTAGAACACCTAGATGATGTAATGATGGAAATTCGAGTAGTAGACGTAAATCTCACTGACGATATTTCTACAGTATTTGCATCGTATCGTACACGCGGAAAAACAGCATTTATCCCAGCTATATTTTTAGATCCACATCCCACCAATAATTCACAAATTCAGATTAAGAATTCTAATAATTCAGGTACTTAAAATAAATTGTGTATTTATTTATATTATATCTTAATCACAATAATCTATGCAAACAATAATATAAACAAGTAAAGAAAGCTCACTCTGCGAGAGTGCTAAATTCTCGGTTTTTAAGTGTATTTTAATATCATACAACGCAATAAACAACAATTCCATACACTACCAGCGGCCGGGGACCTTCCGTTTTTTTCCTTGGCGTGTTCCTGATCTATACAGGGAGTAGGGCTTCGTAAAGTATAAATAAAAGTAATTGACCATAAGTAATTTTTGGGTTAAATTTTAATTTACAGTGAAGAAAGCCGTTCATTATGTGGCCGCTTATAAAAACTGACCCATAACCCCTTTGGTGTGCCAGGCCGACACTCCACACAATTAAATAACCTTTATATTACTTTTTTATATTGGTTAGTACTTATGAATCTAATCTATTTTTAATACATACTTGTATTTTGATTTTTTTATACTGAATAGTATAGTATGAATTTACTCTAAATAAAACAGTTATTAAATTAATAATTTGTTCAACTGTAGTATTAAAGTATTTATATTAGTAAGACTAGTTAAGTGTATTTCTAGTTTTTTGTTTTTAAATTATGAATACTCATATAAAAGTGGAAAAATTAACATCAGTTATCGTAACTATGTACCTACTGGTAACTAACGGACCGACACAGTAGGGGAGACCTAACTAAATACGAGTATAGACATTTTGTTAACCAGATGAATTTATCAGACCCGTATCAGTATTGTCATAGTAGTACCCAAACCTCTATCACTTACCAACCTAAAATACGTAGCATCACTTTACTGGTGGTAAATTGTACGTTTCACCTCTAAAAATATATTGAAAATGATATGTTAATATGTAATAATTCTCTATTTAGAGAATAATTTTGTCCATACTCTTTATTTATTAAATATACTTAAAAACACAAATGTTTGATTCAATAACTACCTATTAAATAAGTATTTTAATGTACATACCTAGCTAGATTATACTTATCAATTCACTTAAAAGTAATTTGTTGTTGACACAAGTACGTTGTATCTATTCTCAGTATCAAAAGAATATGAAGCTGAAAACTCGACAAGTATAGTATTTGTAATCGAGGTTATTTTAATCAAGAATATCGACATCGATTACATTAATATACTAAATGATACAAATCAATATGATTGGACAATTTCGTGCACTTACGATAAGAAAGTAACAAATTTAAAATACTGAAAATCTAAAATTTTAACTAACGATTTATAACATATCATTGATGTACCTACTGAGTACTGACCTATTTTAAGACTTTGAGTCCTGAATTGGTTTCAAACTTTGGTTAAATTATGATTTTTGAATAGCTCACAGGTATTACACTCGAATCAAATGTTGTAGATTATAATTTCCATTTTATCAGTTCAATACCGCATCAAATTCAACCACCTACTATTTTACAGAAATCGACAGCCGTATCTAGTAAATATAATTTTTTTATGTACAATATATATATATATCCATATGTTATACTAACTTGTTAGGTTCAAATGTTACCAATCAAATTGATAGTTTAAAGCCAAATTTGGATTACCATACACTGTTTGAATTCATGATAGCCCGTCAAGTATTAATATCTAATCAAATAAACAATAGGAATTACTAATATACAAAATAATTAATACTAACTTATTTTGCGTAGGATATAATCAAAGAAAAATTGGTGGATAATGATTCGAATGAATCATTAACGGATAAGTCAATTGCACTTTTAAATAAAATAAAAGAAATAACTACTCTGCAAGATACTACCATAAAAATTTTAAATTCAACCATGGATAATAAAACTGAAAGCCGTCATGTACTAACAGATCAATTATTTTTTTTGTGTTCCGTGTAGTCCTAACGTCGTACATTTATTTACAGAATTTGGTGGATGTATTAAGCAAACAAGTCTTAAGTTTACTTCAACTTCAACGTAAATCGACTATGAACGTACAGAAATCAAGGATGATGAAAAAGAAGTCACGTGCTTAATAGATATAACAAATCAAATTGAAATATTAATCTGAAATATAATTTAGTGAACCATTTGTATATTTCAAGTAATCAAATGCCGTAATCATACTAGCAATTACCACATTTATTTTGCTATTTTTCTTGTTTTTCTACCTACATAAAATACAAGTAGCATAATATTCTAATCATCATTGTTTTAGAACCTATTTAAAAAAGATATAATACAACCATATTCTTATAGATATAGGCCATTAAATGTGGATAAGTTTTAATTTTGATTTTTTTTTTATGGGTGTTGGTGCTGTTAATTTGTCATATAAGGGAGAGGTTTAAATAGAATCTTGCATGAGCGTGGACAGTGTGGTGTGCTGATTTCGTGATATTTAGCAGTTAAGATGTTGTGCACCAATCTTTATACAAATTACAATTTTAAAACATGGTTGTTGAGTCTCGCGTAATAAGTTCACGGAATAATGAAATCATATTGAAATTTTATTGAAATTTCGGGTGGATGGTGGAAATCCCCACTCAGTACTCCTAGATATGCCAATGATCATTAATCATTATAGGTACTCATCATACTACATATATGTAGTATAGATTAGTGCAATCCGAAAACTAATCTAAACACAGTTTATTATAGTGATTATTTATTATTGTGTCAGTATAATATGTTATTACAATTATTTAAGTATATAATAAATTCTTCAATTAGTTAATAGTCGTAAGCTTAAAATAATATCGTTTATTCTATTCCAATTGTTATTTCTAAGACAATATTCAAATTAAAATGATAATTATCTAAAACAATAAATTTTAAAACAAATGTTTAATTACATTTTGATTAATTAGTAATGTCAAGTTTATCTAGGTACCTATACTACAAATTATATGAGTAATAAAAAACCATTGTATGCATATTATAATGTAATATAAGTATTTAATTTTAGATTAATCCAACTACATAGTAAAAATTTACTGTTGGTATTACTAAGAAACACAATAATTAAAATAGCAATTTAGAATATTTATATACATTGTTTAAAAATAATATTTTAATACAGGTTAGGTACTAAACTATACTGTAGCTACTTACCTATCTTATAAATACTATTCTCTAGGTAAATAATCATTGTAGACAAATGAGCGATTTCAAAATTTGGAGACGAGTGGATCAACTTTTATTTTTAAAACTAATAATAGTTATTAATCACAACTTAAACGTGAGTAAAAACCAGTCCATGTCCTTCTCCAGATCTAGTACTTAAATTATCTATACCTACTCGATGAACTATGTTAATCTTACGTCGATCAGTGGTAAAAAAAGACCTGGCAGTCTTTTTATCCGCTGACCTTAGATTCCACTATCACATCCAATCAATAAGTTGTAATGCGTATAAGACACAGGGTAAATATAAATAAGGTTCGTAAACCAAATGTCGTCTGACAATCTAATGTTCCTTAGTGCGATCCCTACTTGAGTATGGTTAAGCTGTGTGGGATTCCCACACAGCCTTATCGAGCGAGTCCAGAGGCACTTTCTATCCTATGCCGACCATGTATTGAATATCCCCCACCCGTTGCATAACTACTCACCAGTTCTCCACGACTCACGAGCATGGTTTGTCAACACTAGCTGACAGATGAGTTGACATTACCTTGAAGTTCTTCCGAAACCTCATCGACGGTTCTAGCGATGCATCTACGCTCCTTTCCCCCGTCGGCTTTCGAGTCCCTCCACGGCCCACGGCTGACCCACTCTACCACCACTTTTGCTATCCCTTTGCGAAGCGTTTATTATAGTTTGAATATTCCAATACACTTGATGTACCTAGCTTGCTGACGTACATCCTTCGTTCTTACACAAACCTAGATACCTGGTACTGTTTTTTATTCCGCTAACTTGCCGTTTGTATGTATAATAAATTTACTCACTTATTACTGTACCTCCTTCGAGCTTAGCCCGTATAAATAAAATAAAATTCTCTAAACATTTTGAAAATGTCAATGTGTTTAAAAAATGATAATCGAGTAAATTAGGGAGGTTACAAGTTTCTACGAATAATACTATTTAAATTACAACAAATAACTAAAATCGTTATTTTTCGTTTAAATGTGTGATTTTGTAAAAACTTGACTTTCAAACGACCATAAAAAACATTCTGACCTGCTTTCTTAAGCTAACACAATCGAAAGAAATTTATGAATATATAGCAGCATATACAAAGATTTATCAAGATAATATTTTTAAAAATTCATCAAAATTTGCAAATTATTTTATGCTTGAAAATGTATGAATTCAATTTTTAAAGCTAAGGATTGAAAATTTAAACAAGGTATTTTATAAGTACTAAGTTCATACTAAATAAAAACCTGAAAATTAACAATTTCTCATTAACCAATTTTCTTATTTTATTGTATTTCAAAAACGGTTCACTGTAGATAGGCACATATTTAAAATGTTACCAAATGTTTTAATTAACATTTTCTGTACATGGTATAATTTTTTTAATATTTTTATTGAGTCTTCTTGAACTTGAAAATTGAATACAAGTTTTTCATAAATTGTTTTATCGGCAGTTTATAAATATTAAAGAAACAGCACAATTTTTTTCATAAGCCTTCAAAGTTTTAATTTTTGAAAAATTCATTGTCCTAAATAGTAAATACGTACATATAAAACCTTGAATTCTTACTACTTTCACGTTTTCAACAAAATTATAACAGTGTAAAAACAGTGTTATAGCTGTGATTATATTAGACCTTTTTACCTACCTGCTTACAGGTACATGATATCTCAAGACCCAAATCAGAGATCGAATCAAATACCAAAAATACGTTTAACGGGATGATTTATGATTATTGCTGATAGTAATCTACGATTCGTATATAATAGCAGTCGGCTGACGCAAGGAAATATATATAGGTATATCTAAAGTAAATGGTTTACAAAGTGGGTTTACCAAATTTTATCTTATTGTTGTAAATAATATAATTATAACTAAATGTGGCCATAGAAGAAGAGTTTAAAAATCAATAAATAAAAAAGGTACCTCGGTTCAACATTTTTTTGTTATTGACTTAACAAAAATACATTTGTTTTTTCTACTTACATATAATATGTATATAAACACAAAGATAAAATGTATAACCAAAACTTGAATTTTATAATATACATATATATTAAATATTTTGTATATTTATTTTTGAATCACTAACGCTGTTCCTTCCGAGCTACAAATTATTTGTTTCTAGTCATTGGTAGGTACAAATGTACTATTCAAAAAACGGGTGTCTATTACTATAAATATAATTTTTTTTAAGGTTGGCAAGTGGGTACCACTCTGATGATCAGTAGGTATCTAGAGGGCCCAGGTAACAGCTGTGTTAAATTTAAATTCAGTGATATAAAATCATACAAAAAACGATTTTGAGCGAAGATTGAAAGCCAATTATGTTACCAAGAATATTTTATGATATTCTACTATTAAAGTAATTTATTTCTACGTATTTATTACAATTGGATATTATTTAGTAATAAAGTAGGTTGAATTCATTTTTGAAAAAAAAAATTTCATTTGAAGTTACAATGTTCGCAATATAATAATATACATATTTTATAAGTATCAAGTACCCACAAATAATATTTTTAAATTATAACAAAATAATCATTTTATTCTTCGTTTGAATAATGTCTAGTTTCCAATTTTCAAACCTAAACTGTAATATATTTTTTTAATTTTTACAAACAAATTATAAGGAACCTTTTATTAAAATGTAAATGTTCAAGTAATTTCAATACAAATTGTTATCAACAATAATTAAACAAAAACTAATACAAATCTCATTTTTCTTATGTCTACATAAATAGGTCAAAAAGAGTTTAAATATTTTCAAAGTTTCATCGTGTATGGACAATTGTCACATAAACATTTGATGAAAGTATCAACGGTTATTACTGTTATTAGTTTTTGAGTAACACCAAACAGACAAAATCATATTTTGTCAAAAACTGGATTATAAAAATCGATGTTTATCTACAATTTTTTTTTTTTGGTCGCTTCTGACTTATTAAATGCACTAAGTCATCAACTAAAGGAATACACTTTCCCACCAGAAAATTTACTGAAGTTGTAAACCAAAACATTATTTCAACTCATATCCGCACTAAAGGGGTGGGTGGCCGGGTCAGGATCATCCCTTATTGTTTGACATAACTTAAAATTCTGAAGGTGTAAACCCCTAAATGTATAATATGGTTGATATCGCATATATTATACATTAAACATTTGTAACATATCTTTGTATAATACATCAAATTGTTGTTAGTAAAAATAAATACATTTTCAAACCATCGTTTTCAAATCATGTTATCGTTATTTCGCCAATAACATCAAAGATTGCCGGACGTGGTACGTATGATATCGCTCTTCGGCCATAATAATAACGATAACTTTATCTTAAGATAATAAGAATAGCAGCAAAGATCATACATTTAGGGCTCAGAAGTTGATAACCTTAAAAATATTAAAAAATGACCTAAAATAAATGCAAAAATGACAAAAAATGTTCTTGAAAAATGACCAAAAAATTACAAATATTTGTTTTAAATTAATACAAATACATTTTTTTAAATATTTTACTCTATTTTACTATACAATTCTATAGGTACGTTTACTGATTCAATTCAACACTGATTCATTTATACTGGTTCAATTTTATAACAATATCTTGGACAATTTGTATCAAATTATAAAGCCTGAGTCCTCAAGTTTCTAACTTGGTAATAGAATCGGCCAGAGTTCCAAAGTTTGAATTAATGTAAATTAAATTATGTTTTACATTATCATCGTTCATAAGATTTTGTGCTTTTTCAATTGACGAAGAATCATCTTTGTTTAGACAAATAATAATAGTTTTAAACATTTCAAAATGTTCCAAAAATAAGTAGCAGCTTTTAACCATGTAACCCACCTTGTCAATACCGGTTGTGGTGATAGAAGATTATTAGGTGCTATTTCCTTGAAACATTGAACGCATGATGGACATTAAAAAAATATTTTTTGATGTTCGATGTTAATTGATCTACTTTTGGGAAGTGCTTTCGAATCTTTTCCGCAACACTATGTAATCCATGAGCCAAACAACTTTCATCATATATATGGACCGGCATCGCTAAAGAAAAACAAAATATTGTCATGCTTTATTTCTTGTAGAGACGTGTCTAATAATTTGAAGATGGCAGTATGGGCAGCTTTTTCTAAAA